GTAAACCTTCAGAGCCTCTCCCCCATGAGGAAAACAAGCGCCCCAGGGTGGTGGGGGACATCCCCATGGAGCTCATCAATGAAGTCATGGCAACAATCACAGACCCTGCCGCTGTTCCAGAGGTAACAAATGAGCTTAAAAAATATCTTAGCCATTAACAAGACCCGATAACTTTGCATTCCCAAAGTATGTTGCTGAACTTCAAAAATATGTTCTTCACTAGGCACGATAACTGCCGGTCATGTTTAATAACTGCCGGTCATGTTTAATACTGTCAATGACCCACTTGTGAGACCCAGATAGTGTCAGTAATAGTTTTATGAAGTAGTAAAGAGTGCTGTGTGTGTTTATTTTCCCACTCGATGATAAGAACAAGGTGATCATAATATTTGATCCCTTCCTCCATGTGCAGACCAGTCTGCTGTCGGCTCACTCTGCACGCGATGAAGCTGCCCGTCACGAGGAGCGCAGGGGGGTGATTGAATTCCACGTTATCGGGAACTCCCTCAACCAGAAGCCCAATAAGAGGATCTTGATGTGGCTCGTCGGCCTCCAGAATGTGTTCTCTCACCAGCTGCCACGCATGCCCAAGGAGTACATCACACGGCTGGTGTTTGATCCGTGGGTGCCACCGTACTTTATCACCACTCATCCCATTTAGAGATGAAGTGGAGGTACATTCTGACTGAAATTCATGTCTTTATTTTGACAGGAAGCACAAGACGCTCTCTCTCATCAAAGATGGCCGTGTGATCGGAGGGATCTGCTTCCGAATGTTTCCATCGCAGGGCTTTACGGAGATCGTCTTTTGTGCCGTGACCTCCAACGAACAGGTCAAGGTGAGAGCACTTCCTGTCTGTCAGCTCGGTGAACTCACTGTGTGATGGTTCAGTTTGAACTCTTCCCTTTTTTGGCTGTGTTTTCTGAAGGGATATGGAACCCATTTAATGAACCACCTGAAGGAATATCACATAAAGCACGACATCCTCAACTTCCTCACGTATGCTGATGAGTACGCCATCGGCTATTTCAAGAAACAGGTAACATGTGATGTCCATTAAAGTGTAACATGCTTTAAATACAAATATAGTTCTAGTCATAAGATGCAATATTCTCCCTCCCTCTTCCCTCCTGATCCTCTTCACCGTGCTTACATAAAAACCTTAACATGACCTGCAAAAACAAACAAGAAAACAAATGATTTTACTGAACATATAATGAACTTTGCTTTTTTGATACTTGAGAATCTGCCTTTTTTTACTCTACTACTGTATTTCTAAAATTAATTAACTAGCACTTGGCAGCATTTTTACTGCTTTTCACTTACTTTTACTTTTTGGTCTTGAAAGTCTCTTAATGATTTTGTTTTTAATGAAATAGTTTAAATTAAAGCTTTTTATGGGGCTTATTTTTGTAATGGTATATTACAGTGTATGTACAGGTTAAAGAAACATAAATCTTCTCTCTCTCAGGGTTTCTCAAAGGATATCAAGGTTCCCAAGGCCAAATATGTGGGCTACATCAAAGACTATGAAGGAGCCACGCTCATGGGCTGTGAACTCAACCCCAGCATTCCCTACACAGAGTTTTCCGTCATCATCAAGAAGCAGAAGGAGGTGTGTGTTTTTACATTTAAAACTGTTTAATTGGCTACTTTTTTTCTCCTGCAATCACTATCGTTTCGCATTATTTGTCTCCCTCAGATCATCAAGAAGCTGATAGAGAGGAAGCAGGCTCAGATCAGAAAGGTCTATCCGGGGCTTTCCTGTTTTAAGGAAGGAGTCCGGCAGATTCCCATCGAGAGCATTCCCGGCATTCGTATGTTATTTACAATATTGACTTTACAGCATACAGTTTATCTTTTTCAACACTATTATCTAATCTTTTTCAGTAGGATATTGGAGGTTCATTTGAGTTTATTTTATATCAACAGGTGAAACTGGCTGGAAGCCTATAGGAAAAGGGTGAGTTTGTCTCTGCTGTACAAGATATTAACCTAGCAGAGTGCCTTAAACTTCAAAATGGAATGTTGTTGCTGTTTCTTATATGACTTTAGGAAGGAACTGAAGGACCCAGATCAATTGTACAGCACTCTGAAAACCATCCTCCAACATGTGAAGGTGAGCAACAGATACCAGCCTACACTCGCAGGGTTACTTTTAAAGAAACATATATATTACCATACTTTAGTGTTTAAGAAAGAAACAGCCAAACGGCTCGCTGCACCCGCACTGCGAGGGGGACCCAAGTTCCCATCAGCAAAAACACGTGGGTTTGCTATCCTGGCTCCAAAATGGTGGAATGAGCTCCCCATTGAAATCAGGACAGCAGATAGCTTACACACCTTCCGGCGCAGACTGAAAACTCATCTCTTTCGACTCCACTTCGAGCGATAGAACTATTAACAAAGCACTTTTATACTAATAAAGGACTGGCTTACCTAAAGCCAGTTGAGTAGCACTTGAAATGTTTTTGCTCTATGAAACCTGATGTACTTATATGATTCTGTTTTCTTCAAGGTTGTATCTTGTTGGTCGAACGCACTTATTGTAAGTCGCTTTGGATAAAAGCGTCAGCTAAATGCAATGTAATGTAAAAGAAATAAAGAATCAGCGCAGCAGCTGTTTCTGTAAACCAATCTCGAAAATGCCCCTGTGTCTGGTTGGTCAGTGTTTACTTGTCTTCCACATCTGAGGCATCTCTCCAGCGTCATTGCAGTCAGGAAATACTGTGGTGGTACTGTAGTGACACGTATACCTGTACATTGTTTCATTTTGAATTAAAATCATAGAGCCTTATGGTACCCCTGACAGCTTGTTTAAAGGAACCGTTTCTGTACTGCATATTAAGCACATAGATACTTTCACTGTATTTATAGAGCCCATAGATCTGTTTTATAATAAATAAAGACACTCTTTACAACGTAAAAAAACAAAACACGCTTAATTCTTATCCGACTGTTCTTTATGTCTCAGAGTCACCCGAACGCCTGGCCTTTCATGGAGCCGGTGAAAAAAACAGAGGCACCTGGGTACTACCAAGTCATTCGCTTCCCCATGGGTATGAACACAGCATATATCATTGGAACACACTCGCTAATAGACTGACTTTATTCTTTACAGATAAACGTAATCATAGAAGAAAATACTAAGGGGTAAGACATTGCAGATGATGTTCAAGGACACATCAGCAGTTCAGATGCATGCTGGGATTGTAGGATGTGTGTTCTGGCTGAAGGTCAGTCTCCTCTAGAGGAGACTTAACATTTCATATTTGTAGTATTCGTGCATCATCATTTTTTTGTCCATTTGAAAGTCGTATGCACTATTCAACAGTTGTGCATTTCTTTGTAGAATAGAAACTGATCTCCTGACAACACATTTAGCACACTATTGATTTCATTCATAGTTTCTGCCCAAGTGGTACTAGAGAAAATATAAAGTTTGTTATGTGTTTAAGGTTTTATAGGTTTGGTAGCGTACATATTTAGCTTCTGACAGTCAACATTGAAAGTAGTATAAATGGTGGACTTCACTCTTTTTCTCCTCACAGATCTTAAGACAATGAGCGAGCGTCTGAAGAGCAGGTACTACATGACACGCAAGTTGTTCATGGCCGACATGCAGCGCATCTTCACCAACTGTCGTGAATACAACCCTCCAGAGAGCGAGTACTACAAGTGTGCCAACCTACTGGAGAAATTCTTCTACACCAAGATCAAAGAAGCAGGCCTCATCGAGAAGTAGAGGAGAGGAAAAAATAGGCTTTTCCTCGCCTTCACAGAACAGACTCAGACTATGAAGGGTTAAGGTTAGGTCATGGGTATGTGCATGGAGAGATTAAGAATAGGACTACTGATCTGGAGGGGTGACGTTTCAGAAACACATATCTTCATGTTAAAGGTGCGAAAGGGTCTCGGATCAGCACTCTTCAAATGTACAATGCATGCTGGGCCGGATCGTGAATCAGTAGCTTTGACTGATATAAACACTGAAAGATAAGCCACGAGGGAAGGCCCTTTTTGAAGGCCTGCGGGACTGTTGCTGACATCAAGCAAGGGGAGAACTGTGTCTTCATATTTCATCACACATCCCATGGAAAAACAGGGCAGAGGAAGGTGATACATATTGAACAGGGCAGAAAACTTCAGTTATTATTTCTGTCTTAGACGTTGGAAGGTAACACAGGATGACAGCTGATTGGAGATTCACCGTACATCTTACTTTGTCGCCCTTCATCTCTTCTCTATTTTCTTTTTCATACTTTCACCCCCTGCCTTTTTGGGCGTCTGCCTCCTCCTCTCAGTTGACTCAGGTAGAGTTCTTAAGAGCAGCGACCACACCTACATTGTATTAAGTCATAACACAAGTGTTTCCTTTGAGGAAAGTGACTGAGACTTCAGGTTTTGCTGTCAGTTTTAACTTGGTTCTTGTGCAGAGCGTTATAAAGGTCAACGTTTTTCTGTGTGCTGAGTTCATCCTGCCAAAAGACGGATACATACTTTAAATGTGTACAGAGTTCAATTATTTGAAAGCACTTATACCCACTGTATATTTTAAATGTGTATATATCATATATTTTCTGTTTCAGAACAAAAAAAAACAATCTTCTTTTCCCAATAAGCCGCTTAGGGCAGTTTGACTATCGAATTGCACTTTTATTTTTCCAAGTATTAGTTAACATAAATAACAGCATTGTCTTTTCTTCAGAATTTGTTTTACATTTGAATTAACGCTGTTGACAAAGGACTAATTCAATGATCTAGTTTATTCTTATTTATGTTCTGTAATTTAAAAGAATTATGCTTAAGACAAGGTCTTAATTTATTCTCTTATTTTTTGTCATGCAGATGGAGATTAATAACTTTATACTTTGGAGATAAATGAAAAGATTGTGCAATACTATGTAGTTTTGCTGTTTTGTAAAAAGGTGTTTGTACTTTTCAAACTTTAGGAAAAAAATACATTTTGTAAGATGTCTGGAAAAGAATGATTTCATGCTCTTTGTACGACTGGTTTTAATGACATAGTATTAGCCTATTTTATAGACTGAATAAAACAGAAGTGAGGCTAATTTAGTGTTTGTAGTTTTTCAAAGCTCATCTCATTCTCAGTGTTTCTGCAACAATCCTGAAGTTACAGCAACATACCTCTCTCCACTGGATTCACATCAGGAACACATTTGAATGAAATACATGTTTAACAATGCTAAATTATCGCAGTGATGATGGTTTAATAGTAATAGTACAATTCATTAATCGTAAATTCATTTAAAAGGTCATAGTTGTAAAAAAAAAATCCCTTATGACATACAATTCTGAAAAAAGTCATAGTGTCGTAAAATTCAGGAAAAAAGCACACAGTATGTCGTAAGTTAACTTAAAATGTCATAGCATATGTACACATGCAAAGTTCATATGACAGTATGTTATAAAATGCCTTAATACGGTCATAGTATAATATGACTTTAGTCAGGATGTTTTAATAAAACCACACGGAATTTAAGACAAATGGCAATTAGAATTTGGAAATCGTAAAAAAAGCCATTAATACATTTAGCTAAAGATTACAAGGAGAATTTAAAATACGTTTTGCAGCAAACATAGTCAATAAAATAACATCTGAAAATGATCACAGTAGTTCACATAAAGAAATAACCTAGAGAAGAAAAAAAAATGATCACTTGTGAAAGCTATTAATTCAACAAATGACACATTGCATTTCTCAACTGGCCATTATTTGAATTCCTTGATTTCGGCACAGACGTCCTGCGAGACTTCTGCTTGAAAATAGGAGAGCGGAGGAACTGCAGGTCGGTGAACTTATCTCCGCGCCGAAGTTTCCTGTCAAGATGACAACGATACAGTTGAGCATCCATACAGTAAAATGTGAACATAAATGAAATCAATGAATCAGTTAGAGAAAGGGAAGCATCCATATGTGAACTTACGCATTTATGGTGGGTTCCTTGTAGTCCACGACGCTGGTGTAGCGCCTCTTGCGAGCAGGAACAGGAGTGGAGCACAGGGCCTCGGAGATCATGAAGAACGGGCGATGGGCTGCAGGGGACATATTGGTCACATCACACAGACTCAAGCCCCGCTCTGCTGTCCTTACACCAAGCCCACCTGTAGAAACTGTGATGTTAGACGTGACCCAGAAGCAAGAGAGGAAAAAGCTGAAGGTACTCATGTGTGCACACACCAGTGAACAGATAAAGATAAAAGTACACAGGAGCCAATTCAACAAGAAGTGACAGTTGAGTGAAAATGTGATCTGGCCAAGCCTCTCAAGTGCCCATGTGATTAAGATTTAAATTCGCAAAGCAACTTAGTGACAATACGTACGCTTCTTGCATGTCTTGAGGGTTTTGTGGGGTAGAAGAGGAGCCCCTTCCCCAGAGGAATCTCCAAAACTGGACAGGACGCTGTTTATCCTCTTCATCTCCTCTTTAACCAGAGGGCTGACGGACGGCAAACAATCCTTCTCACTAACCCCTGGGAGAGGTTCTGAAAAATCAACACGAACAAAAACACACATAGGCATCTTTACTTCAGGAATTCTGATCAGCAGAAACAGACACTCACGCCCAAAAAGGAACTGCTCAACCAATCCCCCAGATGTCTTTATTATAGGTCTCAGAGGATATCACTATTACTAGGTCATTATGAGACAAAAGAAGAACATAACATCGTGCTACATTTTTAGGCTGCACGAGAGCAAATACTAAAAAAGGCATACATTTGTTTTACTATGTGATGTCATGAGATGCATCGAGTTGCTGCCGAACAACATTCATTAATGTGACAGGAGTGTGGCAGTGACTGAGCAGCACCTTGTTCATGAGCACTATAACAATAGGATACACAAAGCAGACATTTACTCACCACGGTTATTGACCTGTCTCAAGATGGCTGGGTCAGGGCTGTTAGGAGCTTCTTCCATCTCAGGCTCTGCAGCCTCGTCTCTGAAAACTAGAAACACAAAACAATGAAATAAATGGTTAAAATATAACAAGGAATCAGCAATAACTCCCGAATGTTTTAACTCGATATAGCTAATTTCATATGTAACATTTCTTTTAGTAATTCAATAAATAGGTTGTCCATGTGAAATAAGCATGTTGCAAAGGCTTGTTTGTCCTCCTGTGTGAATAAATACAAATGCAAGGAGTACGAAGAGTTTTCTCTTGTAATTAAGAACTTTAGTGCAATTTAACTTGACAGTGAAAACACTGACTATGTTTACATGCATGCACACAAAAACAAAGTAATCAAATGAAGATAATAGTCTGATTTAACTACACTAAGGTATTCCCATAAGCAGAATTATGGGTATAAGTACGAAGGAGTTGATCAATAAAGCTTAAGGAATGAATGAAGAAGATCTTGCACACACTGCTGTTTAACGGGTTGACCTTTACACATTATTCTCCACAATTATTATTTAGAGAAAACCTTGTCCTGAGCTGAATGAAATATTGTATTTTGGGGTGATGGAGCTCAAAGTTTGGATTTGCTGCCAGTTGTAGTTCAGTTGGTTGATATCTCAATATATTATTTCATCTCGAAGGGATTCCATTGAAAACCAATTCATTAATCGATCAAGTCCTGATTTGAACCTTTTAAAGAACCACAAAACTCAACACTTACCAGTAGGGCTGCTCGATTATGGCAAAAATCATAATCTGGATTATTTGGGTCAATAATTAATATCACGATTATTAAAACGATTATCCATTTACTTTGAAAACATCAATTTATTTAAAAAAAAAAAAAAAGTACAGTACTTGAAATGTACAGTACTTGAACAGTACGTTTTTAACAGTTGATTACCCTGAACTTTAAGTATAATTCAACTGAAAAACCAATACAAAAAAAAGTTATACAAAAAAAAAGTCATAATAATAAAAAAATAATAGTTTTATTTCGATTACGTTGTTTTCGTAATCGTTGGAAGCCATAATCGGAATTGCGATTAAAATACGATTAATTGAGCAGCCCTACTTACCAAGGATCTCCTGTTGCAAAGGGACGCTTTTCTTCTGCCTGATGACTTCAGAGGCCCGCCGCCCTGTTCGAGTGGTAATCTTTTTGGACTTGTCAGGTGAAGTCTGTCTCCATCTGGTCCGCTCAGGGACATAAAGACTGTCCTCTGATTCAGAAGATGACGAAGAAGGACTGGACTCATCCTGTTTGGAAACTACAGGTAGAGCTTCAGTTTGTGGAGTCTCCTCCCTGACAGGCGTGGACGGCTGGTTGTCCTCGGCCTTGGCCTTGAACGGTGTGACATGAACCGCCTCTTCACAGTCGAAGTCAAACGTGTTGTTAAATCCCAGTGAGGTGTTGAGCTTATTCCCTTGTGACAGAGGACCTGTTTTGGCCCTTGTTGCGGACCGGTCCCGACTCTTGGAGCGAGTTCTGGGTTTGTCCCAAGGTTTCTTTAACGGGACTCGGTCTGCTTTGCGGCCTCTCTCTGGTTTCTGTGCAGCAGGTACTGGTTTTGTGGACGGCGTCTGCTGAGTTCTTTTACTGCTTCGACGCTGCTGGTTGTTTTCCTTTGGTGGGACAGGTTCAGGAGTAGAATGCTGAAACTCCACAGTGTCAACGGGGTCCGCTAAATCTGGCTCTGGTTCGCGCTGTGGCTGATTTGTATTTTCAACATCACTGCGAATTGGACTTGCAATCAAAGTATCCAAGCCTGCGATGTGGGACAAGTTTTGTTGCACACGCTCAGACCTCCTCCTTCTTTCTCTATCCGCATGGCCTCGCCTCACAACCACCGTAGATGGCAAGGTAATCTGCCTTTCAGATTGTGCATTCCTTTCAGAGGGCTGAGGGTCTGCGAAGAAAAGGGCACAATCAACAATATCATTACAACTAGGGATGTCAAGATCTGATTGTGGAGTTATAGCTATCGGTGTCATAATGAGCACAAGTACTTTTTAAATAAATAGTAAACCAGGTGATCTGAAGAACAACCAATATTTCAACATGTTTTCTTGCCTGCGGATAACACTCATGGCAGAATGCATAAATTAATGAACAAAATGGTATAAAAGAACTCAACTGACAATAAGTCAACAATTATGGCTAATCCTTACCATTGTTATTATATTAAAGCATCAGAGTAGAGTAGTAATCGTAGTATTTAGTAGAAGTAGTGTGTATATACCTGTACAAATTGGTGAGGCTTTAAACACACTGGGCTTTTCAAGGTTCTGGCTGCTCCTCTTTCTCCTGTAAATCAAGAGGTAAAATATCCCGATCATTCATAAAACTCAGGATAAAATACAGTTTTGTCAAATAATTTGTGTTTTTAAAAAAACTTACCCTGGTAAATCCACATGGTACTTGGGTTCAGCAACGGTTGAAGTCTAAATCAATGAGAATGAAATGATATGTTTTGTTTCAAAGGGCATCTAGCATTACAACAATTAAAAGAAAGGAACAGTTTATCAACAAGCGTCTAGGTGTACCTCTAACGCTGCAGCTTCCTGCTCTTTGAGCTTCCTCTTGAGCAGAATGAGGTGAAGGAACAGGGCCTGTCGCTCCCTCTTCAGCTGCAGAATCATTACATTAGCATGACCCAGCTTTTCCTTTTCAGCTTGCAGAGCTACTGCCAGCATCTTGTTGTTCTGCTGGACCCCGAGCAGGAGGGTGCTGGCAGATTGAACCACTAGAAGAAAACATTGGATGGATGTTTTACACTTCACCAGCATGTCAACATATTTAGCATATCTGCATCTATGTACCACAAATGTGATTGCTGACATTCAATATAAGCCTTGTTTCCGTACCACTGTTTGTGTTGATTTGTATTAACCTTCCTCTGTTGGGAGCTGAGGCACTCTCCAGCCGTTTGTTTCTCTTTTCCTTCATCTTCTCCTTAATGTCCTCCAGACTCTGCTGAAATGACTTCTTCTGGGCCCGTTCTTTCGTCATGGCTTGGGATTTTTGATTAGTTAAAAATGTGTTTACTTTATCAAACATATCAACATCGTAGCGCAGTGATATTATGCACCAAAACAAACGACTAGGCTAACATGCTAGCTACGTTAGCTCGACATTTACCGTTCACGTTATCCAACAAGCCGTCTGCAGTGTGCCGTAAAGTTGGACTTACCAGCACGAGTATATCACCAGGCGGTTTGTGAATGTTAACTATCGCTTCAAAAAAGATGTAAGGTATAAATAAAACAGTTATTCCATTTTAAAACAGCGTTGCTTGCATCGTCACGACGCCAGTTGACGTTCGAATTTTGAGTCGGGGCTGTTGATTGGTCAGAATTTGAGACAACGTCACTTCCGTCACATGAAACTGCTGTTCACAAGGTGGCGCCAATGGATAGCAATCGTTCTTATTATACATCCATGATAGCAACACTTGATGTACATGTCCTTATTCGTCTGCGTATTTTGATAATTTGTGACCAAACAGTAACGTCAGACCACAACACAGCAGCACACCGAATACCTAGTATAATTATTGCCGTCTTAATCGGCATCTTTTCACCGTTTTGCCTGTAGCCTATGTCTGCGTGGGAGGGAAACAATGCAAACCACTGGGAAAATAGAGGCATAGTACAAATCTGAAAAAGAAAATTAGATTAGCCCTCATCAAGGGTCAGGTTCATTCAGCCAATGAAAAATGACTAATTGGGTATTTATAATTGACTGGTGAAGATAAGAGCTGTAGCCGTGCTCTGAAGTGCTTTGCTGCATGTGGATAGAGAGCTGATAACTGTGTTAATCTAAAAGCCCTATGACAAGCAAAATTTGAGTTATATTCCCTGAGGGTTTTCTGAAACTCGTTTCAAACCCTTTCAAAATTAGATTGCATACAGGAGCTCAGAAAGCAAGTCAATTATTAGATTAATGTAACTTTTATTTTTGAGCTAGTAGCTATGTTTGGCCAATAGGCTATAGCCTATACAGTCTGATCTTGACAATATTCCAGGGTAAGGCTCCTATTCTTTCACACACACATACGGGTTTTGGGCCGAGCGCGACACCGTACTTCCGGTATCAACCATTTCCCACGAGGTGCAAGCAGAATATCATAGTCGATTGCCTTAATCAATATAGTCAACTCTAAAATACCACATATATGCATTGGCATGATAATATTATTGTGACAAGTGGGGTATTCACCTGGTGTTTCCAGAAGATAGACGTAGATGCCAAAATCGACCGAAGGCCACTTTTGAGGGTCGTAATTCCATACATTGTACATCCAACAACCCACACAGCTCTAGTTTACGCTGGTAACGACCTAGAGCACACCCCTCAAGTCCAGAGATGTAATCCGAAGTCATGCAGCGATTTCTTCGGTCGTTAATTCAGAAAAAAAACCTAGTGTGCTCTGCCTGGCAACATTAGCTAGCTGTTTATATTAGCATCTCCAGGATTTTTGCACCTCCAGAAAAATGGCGTCTTTATAAAACAATATATGGCGCGCGTTGCATTGTGGGTAGCTGTGACGTCACTGTGTGTGAAAGAATGTTGTTGTTGTCCCCCCCATTGTACATAGTGCTTACAAGTATAGCTATTTCTTCATGCATACACAACATTTTCCTAAAGCTCTTTACTTCAATGTCATAAGTACTTAAGTACCCATTACTACCCTAAATGTTCTATAAATATTGGAATGTAATGTAAAGCACCTCTTCATGATCTCATTTACTTTCCAAAGTCAAACAGGCATGTCTTATTTGGCAGGGTGCTGGGAAGAAACTCCCACCTTCCCTGCAAACCACTGCAGCTAATGTAACATCCATTAGGACCTTCTGTCAGTGATGATCCAAGAAAGTGTCCATGACGGCCAACTGAATGGCATATTAAGGCAACAGGATGGGGCTTGGTAAAGCTTGGGTGTTGTCAGTCTCACCCTGAAAACAAATTACTTCAGCAGGGCGCCTCAGCTGTGAAACAGGCCTGAACTTTCAGGATCCATGAGCCCGAGTTCTTGATTTAGCTGACTTTTCTCAAATGTTTGATGCTTTATATGTTCTCAATGTTTGTTTTTTTCCAAAGCAAGTATGTATCAGTAGCTGTCAAGCTTTATTACAAACTATACACACAATGTTATAGACTTATTTAACCTGCAGCTGACATCATGCTTTTTACAGTCTTGTAGGTGTGAGGTACAAGTGTTCTGTTACCAAGTGGGCTACAGACCTGTAATGACTCACTGTTTGAATAATAAGATCACTTCTATCTGTGTACCTAGGTAGGTTTCAACATCCCTTTGAAACCCAACAACAGCAGCACTGAGCCCCAGACACACAACCAGCTCTCTGTGGGGTGCAGCTTGGTCATTATGCCTTGCAGCCTGCTGTTGAAAACCCTGCTGAGCCATTTGCTTCACAGCCTACATCCCCTCCGTTTACAGATCTGTTGCTCCATGCCATACCGCAGGAAAGCCTCACTGGGACTTAACAAATCCTCTCTGCTGCTGTAAGAGCAACTAAGGGAGGAACTTTAACTGACTGGTTTGTTAAAGACAGATGGTGCTTGTGCCACAGCTCCCCACTGCCCACTCATCTTTTGTCTACTCACTAAAGCCAGAGAAACACAGCTACCAAGGGCAGCTTTTACAGGTATTTTAGTGTAGAAGTACCAACCTAAGCTGTGTCCCTCAACTTAACTTTTTTCTCCTATGTTTAAAGTATAATAATGGCATTTTGGTGATGTATTTGAGCTGACTGAATACACTTAATTTATAATGCACTCATATGAATGCCAACAATGTACTTGCAAATGGAGTTCAAGTTTTATTTTCCAGATGATATTCAGAGAGAGATTTATTTTCCAACAGTCATCTAAGAGTATCTGATTGCACTTATCCATGACCACCTTTGTTTTATTATATACAGAAGTAAAAATGCTGCATTCCCGCGCCAAAAGCTCATTACCTTATTTTTCTCTGTGACCTGCCCTCACATGGCATGCAAAGGCCTTTGTTTTACCTTTGTACTCTCTCCAGGTATCCGAGAATAAAACATTCCCCGGATGCCAAGTCAGGCTTTGTGTTGCTGACATATGTTTATGTGTGCATGCCTGCCACGAATTGGCTAGAGGAGTGAGAGACGAAAAGGCGATGGAGAGAGTGACTGTGAACGTCAAGTGAGATAACGAAAGAAAGATGACAAAAAGTGAGAGAGAAAAGGCAGTGAAGGAAGGTGAGAGAATGAGGGAAGGAGGAAAGAGGACAGAGAAGGTCTGGATTCTGACAGACTGCAGAGAAAAGAGCATCCCACACACAGATGTTCACAATCCTCACCCCAGAAAATGAATAGTGATGATAATGACTGCTGTGACAACTAGGATTATCAGGAGCCGTGATTGATTCGAATATATTTATCTGAATTGGCCTGTAGAACTATTTTCTTTGGAGCGCCTGCTGGAGACAGAAGAAAAGAAAATATCACTAATTACTCCACTTTAGTGTCAGTTGGCTGATGAAAGACTAAAACAAAAACATAGCCTGAGAGGTCGTAGAAAGTTGAAGAAGCAGCGATCACTCACTCAGCACCTTGTCCTGATTAAGTAAGTTGAGACTTGGACCTCGGAGAAAGGTTAAAATAACCATCATTCACTTAACAACAGCTTAGGAGTCTCATCAGTTGAAACTGTTTCAACGAGAACATGATCTCTGTACAATGCCCGAAAAGCAGCAGTACACATTCTTTTGAACCACTTATCAATTTGAAAAACATCGTTCAAGGCTGCAGAGTAGCAAACATCATCAGGTAGACACAGACAATAAAGTCTGGCTGAACATTCCAGCTTTGATTTATCTCAGAGAATGAAGCCGAAGGGGATAAAGAGAAAAGATTTATCTGTACTCTTATTCACTCTTCAAAGTCCTCTGAAGCCAAGTATATGGTCGAGGGATGTGCCCTTTTCATTTAGTTTTTTAGGGAAATACCTGAATAAAGACCAAGAATAGACTTTTGTGTACTGCTAAGTGGTTAAGAGGATGAAATGGGCCTTATAAGTCTGTGTCTGAATGCAGAGAGTTATTGTTGTCGGCGGAGGTGATGGCAGTGATGGCTGAACACGTACGCAAAATCTGAAAATACAGACTTTAGTTACAGCATATGCATCTCATTCAAAAGAACCAAGATGTATTACTATATAAAATGCTTACGTTGAAAGGTCTTTGCACTTATTTATTGAATAAAAAAGGCTGTTATGGAGAATTACATTTGTAATAAATACTTTTCTGGAATCAAACATGAATATCCACAACTGAGTTTTATTGGAAAAAAATAACCATATTCAGTCAACTATGCTGTCATTGCCATTCATACACTGCACACAAACACACGTTTATAGACATCATTAAAGTTTACCATAAACACCTTTCTTATGCTGAATCAAAATGTCCATTTTAAAAGGGCTTTTTATTGATTGTCATGTAATTATCAGCATCTTAAAATATGTGAATTGCAGGAGGATGGAGCAGTAGTGCAACAAACTTCTATGATGGCTATATCTGTGCGTGCACTCACACATATTCACACACACTCACATCAGACAGCACTATCTCTTTTGCTGCTTTTGTGTTAACTTTATCCCAGTCCACTTTATGGTTTGGGCTGAGCAAATAATGTTCAGTCCTGGTCCTTAACACCCACAGAAGCTGTTGTTTGTAGAGCACAGTATCTCTGTTTTATATCACATCTTGTTCAGGTCTCACGTCTGCTTTTAGCTGCAGTTCAGGGCTGATTGAGACGTCGGGGTCAGTATGGGGAGAACAGCAGCGCTGTGTGTGTTGAACAGATGGGTCCAGGGGCCGGATGCATCAGCGCCTGAGGGAGGGGCTGACTCTGAAACAGGGCGGGGCTTGAGTTTGTGGCAGGACGGAGATGGAATGGGGGCAGCGCTGCCATGGCGGCAGCAGTGGCAACGGAGAGTTGACGTTGTAAGAGACAGGAGGCCAAAGGTTTGGTCAGGTCTTGGTTCTTACACAGAGCGAGATGAATCTGAGGGGGGAAACACAGACAAACAAGCTGCAATCAAGGTGGGTTTTTTTCTCTCTAAATGGAAATTGAGCAGGAAACCAGAGAAGGACAAGGAGATAAAGTCTTAGCAGCTCCTTGGCCAGTAGAGGTCTGGGCTGTCCCAGTTACTGCCAAACAATCTTTCTATTAATCTGCGCTTCTATCTAACATCCTCTGCCTTTTTCTCCCAAGACAATGTCATTGGGTTGCAACAGTTCAGACATAAGAACCAGAGACCTGAGGATTGGCCTCATTTGAAGTAGGGAGTGGAGCTTCTTGGAAGAGGAGTCAACTAGTGCACACAAACACAAC